ACCTATGACTGACCTTGTAAGACACCATCCAGCCTTGATCATTTAGGGCACCAAGAACTGCTTTGGATTTAATATATGGTACTCACCTGGAGCCTGTTGTGGGGTTTAATTTAGTTGTTTTACCATTTTGCTAATAAAAATAACTTAGTCAGGGGCAGGATTTGACATATGTACCCCCCCACCCCCCATAGATTCCATAGTGTTTTCATGCAGATTCTACTGTATCTGAAATGGGGTACGAGGTGGACGTGTGTGTGTTCAGAGTTAAGATTAGAATTGACCCACGTTCAGTCTGCTGAGCAGACTGTAATACATGGTCTCTTTATTGCCTGACCAGAAACCTCCAAAGCCCTCAAGCCTTGTTCTTTTTATGATTGCTGAGTGTAAAATGAATTATTCAAAGGTCAGTGGTGGAGATTGGTTTAAACTCTGCATTTGGAGCACTGAGACAGCAAGGTCAGTTTTGAACATCCATCAAGCCTACTCAGGGCCAGAAGTCCATCCCTTGGCCCTGACATTGGGGCGGAGAGCCCATTGGCTCCAGAATGTTGAACGCCATTGTCCTTTCTCAAGGGCAGGCTCTTGCTGCATCCCAATGAAGGCCAGCTCATCAGGTAATGGGCCCAGGACCAGAGAGGTTGGGCATGAGTGCATAAAATTGACAACTTGCCCAAGGCACAGCCTTCGTCTAGGGAGGCAGAGCCTGAGGGGTGGGAGGTAGCAAGGATGTCTGGGTCTTACACATCTTTGGCTGCCCACCCAGCACCATTTCCCCTTCTTTTCCTGCATTTTGTTTGGGAACTACTAGACTTCCAATGCGACTCAGGAGAAGGGGCTTTCTCTCTAGCTCCAAGGTTCAATCCTGGTAGATCTAAGCCAGTATTTTCAACCCTGGTATCACATTAGCACTGTCTTGGGAGCTTTAAAAAAATCCCTGTGTCTGGAACCCAGTCCCTAGAGCCTAGAGTACGGCACAGCCTTGACATCCCCTGGAAGTTTGTTAGAGAAAGACTCTCAGGTCCCACCTGAGAACAAAATCAGAATCTCTGGGCGAGAAGAAGAACTGGTCAAAGCCGGTCATGGTATGGCGGATAGATTTCTCAAAGATGGTTGCTACGACCCATCCTGTTTCTCACACTTTCCTCACAATGGGACTTTGACACTCCTCACATTTTGAATCAACAGCATCTATGTTCCCTCCCCTTAAATCCGGACTGTCTGGTGATTAGGAGGACAATGATACCAGGTAACTTCTGAGGCTACTTTAAAGAAAGGCAATGCTGCCTATCTCTTGGAACGTTCATTCTTAGAACCCAGCTGTCATGCTCTGAGGAAGACCAGGCCTTATAAGGAGCCTGTATAGAGGTTTTCCAGCCGACAACCCTAGCTGAGGTCCCAGTGGACATCAATTGCCAGAAAAGAGAGCAAGAAAGCCTTGGAGATGACTGTCACGGTCTGACTCCAACTGTCTGAGAGGTCCTGAGTGAGAACCACATTGCTGAGCCCAGCCAACCCCTAAAACTGTATAATGATGTGATTGCGATTGTCTTATGCTACTGAGATTGGAGTAATTTGTTACGTATCAATAGATAACTGGAGCTCATGCTCACCTCCTTCCCTCACCAGAGGGCGGTTTAGCAATGGGCATGTGACCCAGTTTGGGCCAAGAAGACAGAAGGCAGAGTCCTAAGAAAGCCACAGAAGACAACTTCTCTTCCTTCTGACGCTGTGGAATCTTGATATGACACTCAGAACTGCAGTACCAAACTGAGGATAAATTCAACCCCAAGGAAAGTACAGCCAACAGATGAAAAGAATTTGGGTCCTTGAGGGCATCACTGAGCTACTGAATTAGCCAGTCCTTAAACTCACTCCTACTCCTGGCCTTCCTGATGTGAAGATAATACTTATTGTTTGGAGTCAGACTTACTTGCTGTTGCAAGTGTTCTATCTGTTGCAGGGTGTAAGCCAGAAGCCAATCTCCATCAGCTTTGAAAAGGGAGGCTCTCAAGGCCAGGGTCAACGGGCAATGGAATGTCAGCTATCCCCGCAAAATGCTCCTCCTGATGGTAAGGAGAGAGCTGGTGGGGAGAAAGTTCCTCCTACACCATGAGCAGGATGAGGGACTGGGAGGCCAGGGCCGAGATGACACAAGTCAGCTAAGCCTGGGTCACAGAGATGGTGACTGAGAGCCAGCACTCAGCCCCAAGTCAGCACATCTTCTCCACCAGGCGTCACCAGAATGTCCATCTAAGTTCTCACTTGGGCTCACTCCTTCCCAGGACACAGAGCCTGAGGAGGCTGCCTATCTCGTGGATAGAGAAACTGAGGTTCAGAGTGTTCCATGAGCTTGCCCACAGGGAGTGGCTGGGGCAGGGGACTCTTGAAGCCCAGCTCCGAGGGCCTTCCTCTTGTCTGCAGGAAGGCTGGGGTAGGACTTGGCAAAGGAAGCAGCAGATTGTACTCCCTGAACCCTCAGACCACTGGGGTGACCGGTCCGTGCCTCACCTGCTGATCTGAGGATGAGGCTGAACCGTCACATCAATTCTAGGGTGAGCTTTTCCAGGGAACCGTCAATTCCCTCTTCTAACCCAACTCCCACCTGGGAACGTTCATTTCCCAACAGACACAGTCAAATCTTGGGATAGCTTTCAGCTGGGAAGCGTCTTTTCTGCCCTATGTTTACCATGAAAGTGGTGCCTCTTGACCTTGAACCTGCTCTTGAACCTCTGGAGTTGGCTGAACTAGGGCCTCACTCTCTACCATGCTGTCCAGGGGAGCATACGCTGGCTGGAGGAACCCCCTTCCCCTATGGCTCAGAGGGTTGGGCCTCTCCCTTCTCTCTCCGTCCTGCTCCTCTGGGGGGCCTGCCATTTGCACTCAATTTTGTTCTTCCTTGGAATCCCCCGAGTAGCTGATCTTTTATCTAAATTTCACATTCTTTGGAGTGTCATCTGGGTGCCCCAGGCAGGAGGCAGGGACTGGGGCCCATCACTGGAGCTTGGTTGGGTTTTGCCTGCAAAACCTACAGCCTTTAGAGCTGAAGACAAAACCTGGAGATGATTTTATCCACCACCCTCAATGTGTGAATGAAAAAGTTGAGGTCCCCAGGTCATGGAGGGGCTATGACCCGGCCACGGCTCACCATGCTCTATCCCGTCAGGAGTGTCAAGCCTGCAGGTGGTGGCCGCTGAGCCTCACCACCATGGCTGAGCCCATGCTCACAGCCCAGGCTGGATCCTGGCCTGTCTGGGCCCGAGCAGAAGTGCATTTGGCAGAACCCACTAGTTTAGCTACTTCTGCACCCACTCAGGACGTGGAGTGTTTGTGTTCCAGAGGCTAATTAGCTTCCCAAGGGCCGTATTAGCACATGAGAGAGTGTTCACTGAATGTGGGATAAAAAGTCAAGATGCAGAGAACTGCAAATGGGCTCTGTGTACTCATTGGGCAGATGGCCCCAGCTAGAGCGGCAGCCTGTGAAGAAATAGGGCATGGGTGTGCCTGAGTGTGCTGACTCCCCTCACCCCCACACTCTACGTCAGCCCTGCAATTTTTAAGGTGGAATTTCATTTCCCCTGTCCTCTTCTTTTTATCCACTTGTGATGATTAAGTTTATGTGTCAACTTGGCTGGACCATGGTGTCCAGATATTTGGTCAAACATTATTCTGGCTGTTTCTGTAAAGGTGGGTTTTTTTTTTTTTGGGTGAGATTAACATTTAAATTAGTGGACTTTGAGTAAAGCAGATTGCCCTCCATAATGTGGGTGGGCCTCATCCAATCAGTTGAAGGCCTGAATAAAACCAAGACTGATCTCCCCTGAGCAAGAAGGAAATCTTCCTGCAGACCTGAACTGCAACTGTTTTCTCAGTCTCGAGCCTGCTGGCCTCCTCCATCAGATTTTGGACTTCCCAAGCCTCCATGAAAATAAATGTCTCTCTCTCTCTCTCTCTATGCATCCTGTTTCTCTGGAAAGCACTAATACACCACTTTTATATAGGGAGAAAGAAGTGACCCAAACATTAAGGAGGGGGCTCTCCCCACACATGATTCTCTGGAACATCACCGATAAGCTGGTGGCACGTGTGGATTTGCCCCTAACTCCTCCTCTCGAATCCGGGCACAGCTCTGATAACAGACCATTCCTTTAAGGTTTATCTAGTGGTGTTGGGGGTGGGGGAGCGCATCACTGACACGCCCCTGGGGCAAGAAGGAGGGTGGTGAGTTCCAGGTGGGAGGGAACCAACGTCCCCAAGTGGTTTTATTCTATAATTCATCAGACTGTGGTATATTAATCTCCTCTCCCATTTTTTTTGAGGGTGAAAAAAAAAAGAGCTCATCAATGTGTTTTTAAGTGCTTGAGAAACAAAAGATCAGAAAATGTTTTGGGGAAGGGGCCCTAACGTATAATTTCTGAGTTGAGTTTATACACTTTAATATTTGATTTCAAAAAAAAAACAAACACCAAACCAACACCTTTTGATTGTGGAGAGGCTACAAATAGGGTCCAGTTCTGAGATCACTTTCTAGACAGAAAGGAAATTCCAATGGCTGCACAGTGATTGATACATTCACCCATCCCCCACGAGGGAGGACAATGACCAGAACCTGTTCCTAAGATAAGTGTGCATTGCACGTGCCCAGGGTAAAAGCCACTTGATTTAGCAGCTTAGCATCCAGGCCAATAAAGGCCCATCCTAATGATGTCACAGTCAACAGCCCGCTTGTGTTGAGGAGTGGATTCTATTGTTTTCCATGAGCATAAAAACAAGCCTGGCACACTGACAGAGAAAGAGTGCTTTAAAGGGAGAGAAAAGTGCATCCTAGGAGCTAATTACATCGACAACAATTGGAGTAGAACACATCTAAACAACTCTCCAGTTTGGAAAAGCTACCTAATCGTTTCCAAGGACACTCACCAATTTCTTTGCTGCGGGGAGAACGCCGTTTTTGTATTATTCTGTAAACAGTAACCAAACGGTACAAGAGTCATTGCAGGTGCCAATGGAGTGGAAAGTTGGGGCTTTACACTTGCTACTGGCTTACAGGCAAGGGTTGAAAAGTCACATATGAGGGCAACCTGGAGTTTTCTACACGAGGATGAATCACGAGGGTTGGGAGTGGTGTCTTGATAACAGGGAATTTGGGCACCAGGGGTGTGTACGCGCGCAGAATAAAGACCACGCGAGGACACGTCGCGAAGTCTGCAAAACAAAAAAAGAGGCCTCGGAAGAAACCAAATCTGCTGACGCCTTGCTGTCGGACTTCTAGCCTCCAGATCGTGAGAAAAAAAAGTCTGTTGTTTAAGCCACCCAGTCTGTGGCATTTTTGTTACGACAGCTCAAGCCAATAAATACACTGCCCTTCTCTAAAAGCTGCACACGCCACATGTGGGGGTTTCTGTACTGCTTCTCAGAGCCCATGAGTTGCCCACTGTGGCTTTGTGTACCCAGGTCCTAACGCTATCTTCACGAGAGCAAAAGAAAGAGAGAAAAGCTGGCGTGGCAAAAATACATAGCAGAGAGCGCCCAGCGTTGTTTGCTAGTCAAAAATCTCAAAACCCAAACTGCACAAGCTGAGAAGAAGCCTGCAGAACTAAGAGGGTCATGTCCTGCAGTGGCCCTTCCACCGTTTTCTGCCCCGTGGACTTCATGGAGGGGGCTTGTGCATCGCAGTTCAGGTTTCCTGTTAGGAAAATGGGCATCACGTTGTCTCATCTTCTGGAGGCATCTATTTGCCTACATATGTCACACACCCAGGTAGCAGACACCGCCCTATATTAGAATTAAATTATCCCCCCACCCCTCTTATGTTCATGGCATCCTCAGAAGAGTGGCTGGCTCCTTCCCAGTCTGGCTGGTTTAGACTAAAAATGCACCAGGTGTCAGCAAATCCAGCTCAAAATCCCAGGCAGCCTCTCCGAAAGCTGCTTTAGGCTTAGGTGGTATAGACATCTGTCTGCATGATTTGATTTTAGGGCCTTGGATCGGAAATGTTGCCCACACGAGCAGGAACAGTATCCCCAGGGTCTGAAACAGTGCCTGGGAATATTAACTTGGACCAGCCAGATTCTGAATGTCTCATGGTCAGAGTCACTTCTTTGGGTTAAGGCATTAAAGACCCCTGTTAAATATGTTATCGAGGGGCCATACATATTAAGACATCATCAGCCATTAACACCGCTTGGTGACTTCATCAGAGTGGCCTCAGAACCCCTCAGTCCCTCAGGGACCAAGCAAGGTAGGGCAGCTGAGTTCCAGTGGGAGGAGAAGGGGACAGGTTCACAGCCTGTGGGGCCAAGGCGGGGTGGAGAGCACAGACAGGGACGTGGGTGACAAAAAGAATAAGATTTCACAGGGAACACTGCGTGACAATTCTGAACCAGCCAGACCTCCATAGCAGAGTCCCTTTTGGTGACTCTGGCCAAGACCATGAATGTGAGGGCCAGGCCAGTTGGCAGGCACACAAGTCCAGCTGGGTCTGTATAAGGAACTTGGCATCTCAGAGTTGGCCTTGGCCTGGGGCCATGAAGCTGGGTGTGCAGGGACAAAAACACAGCTGGAACACCCACCTCTCCCAGGAAAGGGGAGAGCTGCTGGAATGATTGGCACTCAAGAGGTGGGACTACACCCATGTTCTCAGCCAATCAGCTTGCGTGCTGGCTCCAGACTCCTGACACCATGGGGCAGTAAGAGATACTTTTGGGGAATCTGGGAGACAACATGGGTCAAGAGACAACAGCTAAGCATGGGGGCAGCCCAGGCCTGTCAATCATAGGCCTGGGACTCACGGGCCAGCAGGGGAGCACGGGAGAGGCTATCTGGCTGTCCACAGTCCAGGGAGGGAGGTGGAGAGGCTCAGCAGGGGGAAGATGACATCTGGTCGTAGTCGGGGCACTTGAGCAAAGCTGGGTAGTTGCTGTTCATCTGCAGGGAGGCGTCGCTGGAGATGTCGGAGGGGCTGCGGCCCCGGACCCAGGCATCTGGGTGTAGGAACTGGCCTGAGTAATCAGAGCAGTTGCTCAGACGCGGGCGGTAGAAGCCAGGGTGAGGCCTGTACATGTCCTCGGCGGTGTACCTCTTCATGAACAGATACACAGACATAACCCCAGCACTCTGCAGTGAGGAGGAAGCAGAGGAGAGCTCACTGCTGGGGTCCTGGCTTTGCTCCCAGCTGGGTCTGCACAGGACAGGGGCCGAGACACCCGCTGGAGTGAGGAGGGAAGTGGATGTGAGGACAGGAGCAGGGCCCTGGCACGTCCCGGATGGAGCAGACGCGGGAAGGAAAGGGTGACACATTCTGGGGAGGTGGGGAGGGAGGGCAGGACAGCAGGTGGGTCCAGGATGTGTGTAAAGTGTCTTTCTCCTCCCGCCGAGCCCGGGCAGTGCCCCGCTCGCAGCCCAGCCGGGTGGAAGGGGTTTACCTCTGTTAAAAGGAAGGAGATGGCAGCGAAGGCAAACGACCAGCCATACTTGTAGCTGAAATAGGTCTCCGCATCCTTGGTCCTGTTAAGCATCTCGTCGTTGATGCTGGAGATATAGAGCACCAGGCCCACCACGAGAGAGAGGCCTGGGGGAAGGGCAGGGGTTGCTCAGAGAAGAGGCCCGGCGTCGGGGTGGTGGTGGGGGGTTGCTGATGGGGTATCCACCTCCCACTGGGGTTCAGGAAGAAAGCCACCAGCCCTGTGATGACAATGCACTCATTTTGGAGTTCAAGGAGGTAGGTGCTCTCCTCCTAAAGACCCTGTTTAGACCATTATCTTCTAGATTGCAGACAGTTGCGGGTAAGAAAGCTCCCTGTTTAGCTACCTCCTGAGCCATGGTAAGCGCGGTGGTTCTCACCCCACCTGCCCACTAGATCACCTGTCAGACGTACATGTCTGAGCCGCATCCCCGGACATTCTGAGTCACCTGTGGGCCGGGGCCCTGGCACTGTATTGTCTTAAAAGCTCCCCAGGCGATGCTAATGTGAACTATGGGGGAGGACCACAGAGCTAGCAAGTGGCTTTTGCTACTATAAGGAATAAAATAGGCTCCCTCAGCAGAGGCAGCCAGGCCTCCAATCCCATCTCTAGCGGTGGGTGGTAATATCATTGCGGAGACCAAGCGGCCCACGGTCTGTGCAGCCCACCTGACCACTGGGTGTGGCCCACTGAACTCATTAGGCAGGAGAGGTAGGGAGAGTTTGTCCAGATTCTGGCAAGTGTTAAATCAGTGGGGCCCAGTGGGGCCCAAACTCCTACTGCCATTATGCAAACGACTGCCGCAGGCACCAGTCCTGTCAATTAGTGGCTGTAATTGAATCAAGAGATAATTAATTACTCTCTTTTGAGCTGTTCAGGCTTAACTCCATTCACATGATTAAACTAGGGCGTCTTGAAAGATGAATGTTCAAGGAAAATAGGTATGATCCAAGCCTTCCTCAGCACTTAACTCATGTTTGCATCATTGCTGGTGCAGTGAACCCTGTCTGTTGCTATCATTAAAACAACTTCGCATGGCCCAGTTCAGTCTGAAATTTCTGATCCTGTAGCCTACTGCTGAAAAATCTCAGCTGTCTCAAAGCTACTGTATAGCTCTGACTCTTGGGAAGTTCAGTGAAAGATAAAGAGCTTAATCCAGAGTCCGTATCTTTTGGACTAGGTGGACATGTCACCATGCAGAGGGTGGGCTATGGACGTTATAGATGCTCAATAAATATTTGTTGGATTGATGGGTGGAAGAATAGATGAATAGATTAATAGATGGAAGAATGGATGGAAGGTAGGTAGGTGGGTGGATTGAAAACAAGATGGACAGACAAATGGAAGATGAATAGGTGGATGGACGAGTGGAAGGAGAAAGAAAGTAAAGCTCTTGGGCAGCAGGCATCCTGATTTCTACCTAGCTCCCAAGCTACATTGACAAGAAACTGTTGGGAAAAGGTAACTAAAGTGGCTTGGGAATCAGGTGGCAAGCAGGATGCCTGGTACCCATCAGCTGTTTATCCTCTTCTCCATCCATCCATCCATCCATCCATCCATCCATCCATCCATCCATCCATCCATCCATTAAGCCATCCTCCAATCCATCTTCCAGCTAAGCATGGCCCCTCCCTTATTAACAAGTCCAGGGCTCCAGGGCACTTAAAATAAATGCCCTAAGAGTCACTGCTTTGGCTTGGTGCATTCTCTCCAAAAGAGAAGGTCCTCATGAAAATGCACAAGTCACCTTTAAGAGGAGAAAGAGCCTACTTTTTTTTCAACCACACTTTCTTCCCTTCCCACTTTACACACTCCCTGTTAGTAACCTCATCCACATCCATGGTTCCCTCCCCCTAGGCTGACAGCTCCCAAATCTCTATCTTTGCTCCAGGCCACTTTCATGAGCCCCAGACGCAGCCTTCTGGACACCCCTCCCAGATGTTACATGGACACCCCAAACTCAGCATTTCCCACACTAAACTCATGATCTTTGCCCCAAATCTGCTCCTGTGATCCCTAGATCAGTGACGCAATGAATGCGCTATCCACCCAGTGTCCAAGCAAGAACTCGGCACCCACCCTTGACTCCTCTCTGGAAAGTCTAGTTCTCGTCCTACTGAGTTTACCTCTCAAGTGGCAACGAACCCTCTCATTTTTCTCTTCTGTCATCCCTCATTCTGGGCCACCATTGCCTTTCTCCTGTAATATTGAAATAGCTGCTTACCCGGTCTCCCTCCCTCCCTCCATTCCCCACGGCAGTGACTCTAAAATCTAAATCTGTTTATGTCACTCCTTGTCTTAAAATCCTTCTGAGGCTTCTCACAAAGTCCGAAATTCATAAGGTGACCTCGGGTGCCTTCCCCAGCCTCACTTCCTCATGCTCCCGCCATGATGAGTACAATTCCGATTAGTTTCCTCAGTGCTTCATGTTTTCCCTTTCCTCCAGTCCCCCTTTCCAGTCCCAACCCCAAATTCTTTACCTAAGTCCTACTCACGCACCGCCTCACCTTCTCCTGGTAGTCTTCCCTGAGTTTCAGCCACTGCTCTCGGCCCCCACAGTGGTCTTTGCTGACCGCCATCAGAGCCCTTCTCATGCTGTGTTCATGTTTCCTGTCGACCTGCTTGTGTCTCCTATTACACTGACCTTTAGTGGGCAGTGATGCCAGCACCCAGATTGAATGACAAAGTACAACCTGGTGTCAGCCCAGGAAGACAGACCCACATTGAAGTGAGCTGGGGGGGCCAGTGTATGGGGTGTGACTGGACAGTGAGGCGGTCAGTAGGAGTCTGCTGAGGATAGCTGAGGGCTGGGAGGTGAAGGGGCCATTATTCCAAAGGCAGGCTGCATATATTTTTCATGCAAAACCTTGAAGATATAGCCCCTTCGTTACCAGTGGGAACTAAAAAGTAAGTGGTGGTGATGGTGCAGAGTGAGGAAAGGGCCCTGGGTTCGAATCCCAGCTCTGCCCCAGGGTGAGCCTGCCAGGTCACTCCCCGGCCAGAAGTAACACAAGGGCTCAAGGTCATCAGAAGTCTCCTCCAGCTCCGACTCTGCCTGGGGCATCGACTCAGCGGTCTGCTGCTGGGGGCTGACCCTCAGCTGTGACCAGGACTTCCCAGAGCAGAGCTGTTGAAGAGTCAAATGTCAAAAGTACAGAGTTCATGAAAACTACAGAACTCACCTGAGAGGATGAAAAAGATGCCAGAGACAAAGGCCAGTATCGTCCTGTGGGGACGGATGTGTCCGATATTGCTCAGGATAAACCCAATGAACATGAAGAAGAGGCTGACCAGAGGGAACGGTGTGGCCGAGCGAATCATTTCTAAGTGAGCGGACAAAAGGATGCTGTCAGCCTCCAGTGGCCTTACTCCCTGCTTACCCTCCCGATTCGAGTGTTCCCAGAAGTGTCTACCAGCTGGTCCCCAAAGCTGCATCCTGCATGAGCTCCCAGGGACCCATCCCCTCCTTGGGTGGCCTGGCATCCCCCAGTGCTGGCAGGGCTTTTGACCCTTAGCCCTTAGCCTGTGGAGTCCATGCTAACTCAGAATGATTAGTGTCAGAATTGTATTGTAAGTTCACTCTAGGGGTCAGAACCAGCTCTGGTGAGGCCAAGGGCATGAAGTCGGTCTCATGGGGGCCTGAGAACTTGACTCAGTTCCCTGAGTACTATGGTCTGAATGTGGGTCCCCACCCGTCAAATTCATATGTTGAGACCTAATTCCCAGTGTGATGGTTTAGGAGCTGCGGCCTTTGGGAGGTGCTCAGGTCATGAGGGTGGAGCCCTCATGAATGGGATTAGTGTCCTTATACAAGAGGTCCTACTAGAGCTCCCTCACCGCTCCCGCCATGTGAGGACACACCGAGAGGGCACCAGCTATGACCAGGAAGAGGGCCCTCACCAGAGCACGACCATGCTAGAGCCTTGATCTTGGACTTCTAGTCTCCAGAACTGAGGGAAATAAATTTGTGGTTTACAAGCTACTCGGTCTGTGCTATTTTTTTATAGAAGCCCACACAGACTAAGATGCTAGGTTTCGATGTCCTCTCACTTGCCGGGCTCACAAGACTGGGAGACTCCAGCAACCTGTCACCAACACTGGATAAAAAATTCACAAAGCAAGTCCTGGTGAGCTCAGACCAGCACAATCACCTGAGTCGAAGGACATTAGCTCCTGAGAAATAAACTGGGCCCTGGCTCCTCCCTCTAGCTGCTCTGCTCTGTCCAACCAGAGCAGCGGTTCTCAACCTGTGGGTCGCGACCCCTTTGGGGGTCGAACGACCCTTTCACAACAGTAGCAAAATGACAGTTATAGAGTAGCAATGAAAATAATTTTATGGTTGGGGGTCACCACAACATGAGGAACTGTATTAAGGGGTCGCAACGTTAGGAAGGTTGAGAACCACTGAACTAGTGGCTTAGGTTGGAAAGTCCCAGGCACCTACTTAGAACGCTGACCGTGGACTCGGACGTCATCTGAGTGTTCATAGGCATCACATATTCTATGGTGAAGCAGCGTCCTCGCTCCTCTCCTATGAAGACAAGAATCCTTTACCTTCCTGAGTCCTTCTGCAACATGGTTTTGAAATTAGTACATTCAAATGGTATTTCCAAATGTTTCTAGGATTTTTGACTTTTGGTGTAGTTGCACCTGGGCTGGAACCAAACCCTAGGGCGTCCCATCCCTGGCTGGTGGCCCACAGCAGGGGTGGAACACATCCTGACATCACATCTTTCCTGCAGAAGCACCACTGTGAAGATGGCCCCAAGCATGAAGAGTCGCATGAAAAGTGGTCAGCACTGCAAACGCAAGCTGAGTAAAACGTCTGGTGGCTGTCTTGTTGCTTTGGGGCAGAGACTTGGCGCATGGCTGGCTTAGATACCCCAGTGTGGGTGTCATGGAGCAGGACCCCAAAAGCCTTGGCAGCCAGATCCCGGTGACTTCAAATTCTGCTTCAGATTTAAGCAGAGGTTGATGCCACATAGTCTAGGGCAGTGGGAGGTGAGGTCAGTGTTGGATGCCATTCCCGACACAAGTCACCAGGAGGCCGGGCCTCGAGGCGTCCTCCCTGTTAAATACTGGTGGGCGCCACCCACCACACCCATCCCCCAAAGCCCTACTATGAAGCTGGGTGGACCAATGGTCCCTCTGCCCAGTGCACACATAGGTGATAGGGCCCTCCAATTGAAGTCCAGTGAGCACGCTGTGGCGAGTCTGGCCAGCCCAGGCTTGTGGCCAATCTCGTAGGAGATGCTTTTCTTGTACAGGCTGGTCCTGGGTCATGATAAAGGGATAAAGGACAGAGGGCTCGGAGGAGCAACTCCAAAGGTTCCAGAGAAGCCCTAGTAAGCTGGCGGGAGGCCCAGGCAGGTGGGATCAAAACCTGCCCCATCTTGCAGAGTTGAAAAGACCTGCACCTGTGTTTTCTCTCTGCCATTTCAAGGATTTGAGCACAGAGAAACTATTAAGTGTCGCCCATCCTGTGAACTAGTGGACATTTAGTCAAGGAGACTTATTTCACTTCATCTCCTCATTTGTAAGGTGGAAATAGTAACAGGTACCTGCTGTGCAGTGTTGTGGGGAGGCAGTGAGGTCAATGATGCAGTGAGCTAAGGCACGCAAGGGCACTTTTAGACCTGGTGGGATGTCAGCCTTGCTCAGCCTGGGAGGTGGGGTGTAGGGAAGGCGTGGTTACATTCATCTTTCAGGTGGGAGACCCAGGTCCCGGGGGACGAGAGGACTTGCTCAAATGGACACCACAAGTCAGGGCTTGAGTTTGGAATGGGTCCCGGTCATCGCAGAGAGCACTGCCTAGACATCAGGACGATCGTCCGTGGGGAACCATCTCCTTCCGGCAGGAGCCTCTCTTCCCAGGTTGTCCCGGGGAGGAGCTGCTCCCTTCTCCAGGGCAGGGCTGTCCACAGCCCTGGGTGTCCTTACCTGCGAGGAAGCAGACCCGCCACAGGCCGGAGTGCAGGGACATCTTGATCTCCGTGCTCTGGTTCTGGGGCAGGACCACACCCTCCTCCAGGTACAGCCAGTAGTCGGTGCTGACCGCGATGCCCAGGAGCCCCAGGCCACAGACGGCAAAGACGCTGCTCAGCAGGGTCAGGGCCTTCCTCCCGCAGGCACTCATCTTCCCAGACAGTCGAGAGGGCGGCCTGCAGCTGAGGTCCCGCCAACAAGGAGTGGGCGCTGGGGGCAGGAGAGAAGGTGAGTGGATAGAAGCATGGCTCCAAGGAGGCCAACATGAGGGGCTCAGGAGGTAGCCGAAGTGGATCCCACCTGGCTAAACTCATAATGACTCACAGGCCAGCCCCCTGGATGCCAGGCCACCGTGACCGAAGTGCCACAGCTTTCCTGACAGGCCACGGCAAGGGGCCCCTTCATCTCCACTGGGAGTCCCCCTTGCTGGGTAATGCCCTTCCACCCTCCCTCCCTCCCTTCCTTCCTTCCTTCCTTCATTTATCCAGTAACCCACTATGCCCAACATGGGAGATAAAAAGATGAACATTCAACATGACACTATACTTGCCCTTGAAGACTTCCCGCCTAGAAGACCAAAGGTGCCCACAAAGCAATTAGCATGCAGTTTGATGGGGGCTGTGGTAGAGCTTAGCCCATGAGCTTGGGGAGCAGGGAGGAGGGATGGAGTGAGCTCTGCTGGGTGGGCTTCTTGGTGTTGAGAAGGACTCTGAGGCTCAGGTGCGTGCAGGCAGAGAGCTGCAGGAGCCAGGCAGGGGAGCGGCAGTAACCTTGGGAAGAGGCTGAGGGCAGAGAAGGCTGATTGGGAATGTGTCTTCCTCATGGACTCTATAATCAGTTGTGGTTCTAGGTCAACACAAGTAAAGAAGCCACAGTCCAAATTCAGTGGGCCTCCTAAACCCACCCAATCAGAAACTATCTGACTCTTCCCTGTTCAGCGTGCAGTACGGGCCAGAGCCAGCTCTGAACCAGCCAGACAGAAGCTAAGAGTCTATGCAAGGTGAGCCATGAGCACACTTACTGATACCTGCCAGGGCCAGGCGCTGGAGCTGGGAAAACATGAGCAATAAGGCAGATGGATGTCAGCCTCCATGAAACCCACAGGGCTTATGAACTCTGGCTGCAATCTAGGACCCAAGGAGTGCCTAAAAGTCCCCCATGCCTGGGTGCCTCTCTGAGAGGTTCTGGTGCCACTGCACTCAAATAGGGGCAATGGTATTTTTTCAGGGCTCCTGGCGATCTAATGTGCAGCTCAAGTTGAGAATGATTGATCTTTGCTACTCAATGTGTGAACCACGGACCAGCAGCATCACCTGGGAGCTTGTCAGAAATGCGGATTCTCAGGCCCCTCCAACTTTCTAAATCAGAACCCACATTGTAACAAGGTCCAGGAGAAGTGTGTACCTGCGGAAGTCTGAGAAGCACTGTGCCAAGCAAACAGGTGACTATACTATTATACAATGCAGTAACTGCTATGACAGGGACGCCCAGGGTGTGGTGAGAGCCCAAAGGAGGGTCATCCAGTGGGACTGGCGGGGGCACACAGAGTGTCTCAGGAAGGGGGGTGGGGCCTGGGCAACTCAATGCATCTTGCCTAAGCCAGTCAGCCTTGCAAATTTGCCAAGATATCAACCCTTGCAATAATGCAAAGCCAGAAATTTTGAAACAGGGTGTTGATGTTCAGGAAAGAGTCAGGCGTCATAGCATCTATGGTGGCGAGGTAGGGCCACCAAGCTCAGGTGCCTGGTGGTGACCCAGGGGCCCTACGCAGGGCACAGCATCATGTCTCAGCTGAAACACAGGTAAATCCTGGTGGAGCCAGAGGAAAAGGGACAGAAGCCACCATCAAGTCTGGAGGCTTGATTCGTTTGTGGAGTCTGATCTTGCTGTAGAGGAGGGGAGAGGGGAGGAGAGGAAAATGGGTGCTCTTTGCAAGAAAGGGGGGTTACATCCTGGCCTTCATTCCATATCACCAGCCCGGCCCTATCAGCTGACAGTGGGAGAATTGACTGACCTATAGAATGAGACCCATGCTGGCTTCCTGGAGGCCTGTGTGAGCTCACGGAAACAGAGGCACCAATCTGTAAGGCCGGAGAGCACAGGAGTTTAAGCCAAGCCACTCCCTCCTGAGCTGGCTTTGACAAAGAAGGGAAAAATGAAGTGACAGCCAGGCCTCCTCATCAAGCCAACTCATTCTCCACTCAGTTGGGCGAGAGGCGGAGCAAGGTGGCTTGGCTCCTGATTGGAGTAGGTAATAAAGCACCTACTATGCTGCAGCGTAAGAGGCAAAGGAATCAGAGGGTGGCAGGGCAGGCTGCCTGGGAAAATGACTACATGGTTGGTGGGATGCGGAGTGATGTGAAAAATGATAACTACGATTTTTATAGCGGTTTGCTAAGGACTTTCACTTACATTTGAGGCTCAGAGAAGCCCACTATCTGCCAGAGGGAATGGAATTAGAACCCCAAGGATGTTTAGCGGGGGTAAGGGAAGGAGAGGACAAAAGGATGAGATGCCTGGGTGAGAATAACAGCTGCTAAGAGCCTTGAGAGACAGGCAGCCTGGACTGTGTACTCAACCCTGTCACGACGCAGCTATGTGAGGCTGGAAAACTAACTTTTCTAAGACGAGGATAATAATAAATGCTAAAGTATATTGAAGGTTTATCATTGGCAGGCCTTCCGCTAAGCACTTTATTCTCTGTTTTAGTTCTTACAACTCTATTGCCATTCCCCTTTCACAGGGGAGCAAACTGAGGATCAGGGAAGTCAAGAAACTTGGCCAAGGTCACTCAGCTAGCAAGTGGTGGTGCCTGCACTTGGACTTCACACTGCCTCATTCTCAAGACCCTTCCTGGGCCTCCCTGATGCGTGTTTTCCAAAATGGGTGCCATGGAGCAAAACATCCTTGGAATATTCTAGCAAAAAGGACTCTGGTGAAAAAAAAAAAGCTTGGGAAGCACCGGATCTAGGTCTTGAAGAATCTGACTGCACATTAATATCTTCAAGGTCTGAAAAGCCTGTTTCATTGTGTTCATTCCAGTGTTTTCCAAACTTATTTGTCCACAACATAGTGACTTGTTCTGTGAAACCCACTTTGGGAATGAGGCTGCCCCCCATGAAGAATAACAAGGCCTGTCCTGCCCACTCCATAAAGCTGCTGGGAGATTACACAACAGCAGCTCGGACAGTGCTTTGAAAAATCTTAAAAGTCCCATCCTGGTGTAAGGAATTATTATTAAGCAACAATGGACACATTAAGCTCCCGTTCTTGCAAGGCAGAGGGATCAGGGCTTCTGAAAAATGACAGCTAGTGCCTGGCCAGGGCCGAACAGCCCATTTTAATGATAAGCTGGGCAGCGAGACAAAAAGAGATGCAGGCCTTGGAGGTTTGGAAGGATGAAAGCAGAGAGGAGATTGGATCTGAGTCTAGAAAAGCAAGAAATAAAAGAAGAGGCTGATGTTGACCTGACTGCCAAACCTGACGACGGCAGAGCCTGAAGCCTGGAGCGAGCTTGGGAAAAGGGCAAAGTCCCCTTCCAGAGTATGCGACAAATTTATGGAACTCTGCACAGAGTGGAAAATAACAATCTTATTCATTACACAATTGCATTCATGCCTCTATTATGAAATCACATTTATTTATAAGCAAATAGGATCACTGATTATGGAAAAGCCCTTTATGGCACAGTATTTCATCAGGGCCTCACAACAACCCCCTAAGTAAGTCTTACTAGCCCCACTTTGTGGATTGGGAAACTGAGGCTCAGAGAAGTCCTACAGGATGTCACAGGTAGGAGACAGACTGTGGATTTAAGCTTAGGTCTAATTCCAAAGTCTATGCTCTGGCGACACCATTGCCCCACTGAAGAAATAAACGGTTCCGGAAGTGTTGGTGTGAACAGCCATATCCAAGGTGGGTCACTAGGGAATCTAGAAATGGATGTGACAGTATTTGGAAGATTGTCTTTGTAAATGGCCAAGTGTTCCTTCCATAAGGGCTGTTCCTTGATCCTACTCGGCTTCCTATTGGGAGTCACCCGGGCGCACCTTCTCGAATCAGTCTCATGGAGGTACATGCGGACTCAGCATTTCTGATTCTGAAAACCACATTTTAGGGTGGGAAGACTAATATTTCTCTCAAACCACATATAATAAAGTCAAGGTCCAGAGGGGAGAAGTGCCTGAGATCACCCAGCCAGGTCCACAGAGGGACACAAGTGTGAACTGGAAATCTTTTGAATGCTGACCCAATGCTTTTGTTCCCTGTACTGCTTGGAAAATTATAAAGCAGAAGATGAAAAGGATCTGCCCTGCCCCATTCTGAAAACATTGCAGTTAGTAGCATTTTAGTTCGTTGCCTTTCTGTTGTTTTCCTGATGTAACTGCATTGTGTGTGCACATATTGTCCCACCTAATGTCTTCCGTTGGTGGGAGCAGGGGTCCCCTTGCAGATACTGGTCTGGAATGAATTTCTAGTTCCCACATAATCAGGCCTTTGTCCACGTCTCTGCTTTTACATGATTGCTTCTCCTTCCTGTGAATTCATCTCTCATCTACAATGTTCATTTGATTCTTCTGATGGGAAAGGCAGACATTTTTTATAAGTCGTGGCCACCAGAGATGATGTTTATGCTATAATATCAAATGAATAAAGCTGGATGCAAAACCACCTGTATAACATGAATTCAACTGTGGAAAAAAATTCATAGACCGGGAAGAAAGAAACCAAAACATTGACGGTAGATGCTTCCAGGTAATAAGGTGATGTGTGTATTTGATTTTCTTTATACTTTCCTGTGCTCAACAGAGCTTCTAAAAAAAAATGTATTATTTCAATATCCAGAAAAGAGAAATAAATTAAAGACTACAGCTGTCAAATCTCCAATCACTGCCCTCGTAAACAAAAATGCAGGGTCCCAGCAAACTCTTGGGCTAGAGATGCTGAAATGTGGTGTTATCCTTCGGGGCTGGAGGCCCTGAAGAACATAGCAGCTTTGAGTTTCTTAAGATGATTACACAGGTGCCATTACCTCTAAGTATTAGCTTGTTCATTATCAGGAATTTAACAGTTGCTAATTATCACCCATGACTAGCAAGGAGGGAGAAATGTCTTGTGGAGTTTAAATCACTAATGGCCCGTCTCCCTGCTCAAGCCAATAATAAAAAGACTCGCAATGACGTGCTTAGGTGTTCAGAGATAGGTGAGGG